CAAGAGGCGACAGCGGCCGGCGGGCGGCGGCACCGGCGGCAGCAGGAAGAAGAAGGCGTGAGGGATGGAGGGACCGCATGTGGCATGGGGGCAGGCACGCCCGCCGAGGCGCAGGAAGGGACTGTGACTGCCAGCCTCCTGCCCGGTGCTCTATTCGCACACCTATTTGTCAATAAACATGCTCCGGCCTTTCTAAAATGTTCTGCGTTTGGCTCTTAGCTGGCAGTCGGGGTGGGCTGTGTTCTCCGTCCAAGGGGAGCTGGTGGTGTAGCGAGGGGGTCAGGAGCCCCAGTTCCCCCCAGTTTCACTGGGACAGCCAGGTAGCGTTGCTTCATGGCTGGCCGTGGTGGCTGCAGCATTTCCAGGCAGTACTGAAGCTGATCAGAGCTGTTCCTCGCTCAGGTAACTGGGACTGAGGGCGGACTGCAGCTGTAACCTGTGTTTTGGTCGAGTAACAGCCTGCTCAGACACAGATAACGGTTGAAAGACATGGTTGCTGCTCTCTGCTCTGGGCAAGTGGCCTGACAGTGGAGCTCTTGCTCTGTAAGTCAACTTCTGCCGCTCAGCTTTGTGGTATTCAGGTACAGTTACAAAAGGAACATGAAAACTTACTGTGAGATTTAGTGCAGGGCCTAAGAAATTGTACAGGTTCCCTAGAGAGTTCTGTTGATTAAAGAAAGAAGTCCAAGCTGGTGACCAGCCATTGAATTCAACAGAAAAATGTTTGTATTGAACAGCTGGTTAAAACCTAAATTTCTCCCTGTATTAACATTAGTCCATAGTTTCATAGAAGTAGTTTCACAGTGTTTTTCTTTACCAAGCAGTTTGAGAGCAGATACTGGAAATGATCTGAGACTTCTGCTTATTAGTCTTTTGAACTCTGTAGTGCTTCCTGTATCCTTGAAATAAAAAATACAATTTGCTGTCCCAATGTGTGGCTTAGCTACAGGAAGGGTACTGTTCCCTGAGACCATTCCTGGTAAGAGGGGTAATAAAACAAGTTCCAGCAATTTCAAGTAAATTAAGTTCTCAAACTTTCAAGTAGTAAACTTGTGAGTGGTTAATGATAATGTAGTATTTCACCGCAAATGAGTTTTTGGAAGAGCTAGGTGACTCTACAGCAGTTCTCTCACTCTGTAGCAGTTCAGTAGGATGGCAGCTTGAGCATGATCAAAAAGTAAAACCTCTGTCTGCGTAAGGCAGCTGCCGAGGGCAGAAGGGGTACGTACGCACGCCTTGGAGCTGAAGGGATTTGGGTGCCATTGATGGACTGACTATAGTGCTCAACCTACGGCCTTTGCCTCTTACATGTTTCTTGCCACTGTGCTGAGCAGTCTGCGCCACCGCCGGCTGCTTCTGACTTGCCGGTGGCAGGAATGGTCTCATGGACACAACCCATTGACACCAAGCCTTCGGTGTAAGTAGCTAGGCAAAGCAGGGGCAAAAAGCACTGGGAAACGTGGAGAAAAAGTTGCTGCGAGATGTGTTCCAGACCTCCAATTTTCCTGCAGTTCCACGGGGCACGTCTTGTACCTGCTCAACCAGGCAGCGCAGCTTTTTTTACACACACACACACACCCCCAATAAGTATTTTATGCTGCTGATGGCGTTATTGGTGAACTTTCTCCACTAAAAAATCCTGGGCGGTTTGTGCATTTCCAGCAGCGATGGGGTAACCCGCGCAGAGGTGCAGGTGCACCGTGGGTGCTGCCGCTTTCTGGCTCTCCCGAGCGGATAAAGGTTTCATGGCT